AGGAAAGGCTGCATATATTGGGACTCTACTCATCCCAATACCGCCGACTTCAAGGGAACCTAATATTGGCATATCACATACTGCATCAACCTAAACATCCTTGCCGTTCTCTGCTGACTTTATCTCATACTGCTCACCTCAAGGGACATCCACTAAAGGTAAAGACTCAAAACAGCCACCTTGATTGCCGGTATCACTCGTTTGCAGTCAGTGTGCGGCGTATAGAATGCTCTCCCATCTGATGTAGTATGTGCTCCTACAGTTGAACTACTTAGATCGCAACTTAATAAAGCATTGGAACACTTAAAATTTTAACATCCGTGAGTGATCATGCACATTATTATCATTGTTATTTTCTCTTTGTGAAGTTACTCAAAACATTCTGTAAAAATCCTATGGGGCATGATAAGCTTTAGCTTTGTTAAAACGCTCATAATAAAACTTTGATTTTGACTTTATATTATTCCCCCTTACCGTTCCTCATATTTTGCCATTATCTACCCTAATCACGAACCTCATGCACTCTCAGTCTCGCTGAAGTTCAATGTTGAACGCATCTATTAGTAGCATTCCAACAATAGTTTCAAAGTTTACCTTATTTGTCTTTGGACTCTACTCCCTCTTTCGTTCTATCCCAAAAACTCTTCTTTCCCTGTTTACTTCGCTGTTTTCCTTGATGTTTGCGTAATCAATTTGTTATTCCGTGCTTCTTTCCTATCCATTGTGGAAAGTCCAGGTTCAGTCCCATTGTGGAATACTACAGCTATATGTGCAATGCTGCTCCCCCAGTTTCCTTTACTTACTCGATCAAACCTAACGGGGAAAATGCAGTAGATTTAATTTGCACAATTCGTACCCGAGGTATTTTGCTGTATCTCTTTGGGTATGTGCTACAGATTATATTACATAGATGATCACAACAAATTGATAAAATTGTCGTTAGTAAGCTCAAAATTTGCGTTTTGCAACGGTTTGCTGAAGTAATTGTGATTCAAAAATGAACATCTGTTTTATGCAAGCAAATTTATTTATTCGTTACCTTGATGTTACCTTTGTAAAACCACAATTTTGAACTAATTGCCGGTTGTATACAGTGAACCATATCCGGATACAAATGGTGCAACGTAAATCTACTGTATCATCTTCAAGTTCGCTGCGGGATAAAGTTATTTCAGTTCGCCTAAGAATTTGGTGCTGGTAGTTCACTGGTTTAGTCGCTGTCCCCGGCATGCTTTGAACCGTATGGTCCGAGGCTCAATCCCCGCCACCGCCACCCAACCTTGGGGGTAGGCAGCTTTCACTTTGTCCGGTTCAATGCCATGCCTACCCTAGTGCGGCCTTATTTGGTTCAGCACTCCCAATCCTGGGGCTCAGGTAACCGGGTTCCATCGCTAAATGGGAGGTCTACGTATTTATGCGGTTCGACCGCCTGTTGTTCATCACAGAAATGTGTTTAATGAAGAAAATTCACGTCTGCTCCCTTAAGTGCAAATGGTAATCGCCAACTCATCCCCGGATAACCACTTTTTCGGCACCACTTTGACTTCTGTTCATCCGAGCATACTTCCTGTGTTCCCGTGCTTCTTAGAGTTTCCCACTACCCGAGTGCTCGGCATGCTATCCCAAATCAAGTGTTTTTCTGAATGCTGTGAAACGGGCACTCAGTAATCTAGAAAACGGTATTTGCGAAGAAATGTCTTTTCGATATATCGCATCAGGCGTTTACATATATAAGGTGATCATAATACGGATATCTGAATGGCCAATTAGAGCTCAGTTAGTAACGATGACAGAGGCGAGCAAACAGATCAAAAGAATATGACAAGGCTAATGATAGTCGTGGGTGGGAGTGAGAACAGAAAGGTTAAATAGACAAATGTTCGAGAGATGAGCAGATAAAATGAAGGTTGTGAGCTAGGACGAGAGAGCGGGATGAAGTTACGTAATATACGGTAGAAACTATAGGCCATGCATAGCAAGTGATGTAATCAGGAAGGGACATTAGATACAAAAACAAGATAATTAGTTCTTNGCTTTGTTTTATGCACAATCAATCCGCTGTCCAGGCCAGGGCAACAACAGTGTCTGGACCAGCATTTTTTGATTACATAATTCTGTATTGAAAATTCGAATTGCAATCGCCTCGGCCGTGGTTAAAAGCCGCCTTCTTATCCCCTTGGAATATCTCCGGGGTATAGTGTAAATAATTTTGAATGCATCGAACTTGTTCACAGAATGCCCACTATCGACGAGATGACCGAGAACCGAGCTGCGAATAGATCTAACCGTTCCTTTGTAGGGGGCCGCGGGACAGAGCTCAGTAATACGTTTTGATAATCGCCTGGCCGTATGTCCAATGTATCGCACACTACAAGTGCACGTGAAAAGATATAGAACGAAAGATTTGGACTGAAGGGGCAACTTATCTTTAATTTGCTGGGACACCAAGGGCCGAGTGGCAGTGAGGATATGCGGTTGAGCTGCAGGGTACATTCTAGAAATCGCTTTTGACAAACGTCCTTTAAGAAGTTCCAGGGCATCGTCACCCTTAAACGGCACAGTAAGGAAAACGTTCTTGTGAGGAACGATAGGGATTTTGTTCGGGTTGGTCTTCAAACTAATATGTTTACGAATAAAAGCTTCCGGGTAACCATTTGACCGAAGTACGTCATGGATAAAACGTATCTCGGACTGCGGTGTATCCTCGCTGCAAATCGCACGCCCTCGTTATGATAAACATCTGACCAGGTTGCGTTTATATTTCAGGGGGGCAAAGCTACAAAAATGCGTGTACTGTCCAACCCACGTTGTTTTGCGGAAGACGCTTCTTTGGATGGCACCGTTGTCCTGCTTTGTTGATAACACATTTAAGAAGGGTAGCTGTCCGCTCTTCTCTAGTTCGCAGGTGAAACGAATAGCCGGATGACACTTGTTGAATTCGGCGAGAAGCTGTGTGTGGTTGGTGTGAGAATCACAAACGATAAAAGTATCGTCGAGTTATCTGCAATAAATGTCGAACTGTCTCTCTCAAATTTTCGTTCTCCAGTTTAGCTAGGAAAATATCTGCCAATATGGGACCTAGTGGAGACCCCATGGCTACCCCGTCGATTTGTCTGTAGAACCGGTCATTGTACAAAAACTGTATGTTAAATGTACATCTGAGAATCAACTCTTTCAATTTGTTCACCGGAATTCCGACGTGGATGTTGCTAGAAACTAAGAAGTCACAAATATGATCAACTGTCTCCATCAGCGGTACGTTTGTAAACAAGGATTCCACATCGAAGGACATCATAGTTTTGTTGCGAACATTGAGGTTTTCTATCTTCTCTATAAAGCTAAACGTATCCTTCAGGCTATGTTTGGCAATCGTTTGGTGTACTGGTTCTAGTAGTTCTACGATCCATTGTGCGATGGCATGATATGGCGAACTCGACATGTCAATTATGTGTCGTATCGGAACGTTTGGTTTATGCACCTTCGGTAATCCATAGAGCCGCGGCGGCGAGGATCCAGTCGGAACCAGCTTATCGAAAACCGCTTGTGATATGTGACCTTCTATGTTTAGTTCTTTCAAGATGGACGTTAACATAGATTCCGTTTGCTCTGTCATGTCTTTCTTATGTGGTCTAGCGGAAAATTTTGTGGAGTCGCTGAGGATATTCTCTAGTTTAGAGTGGTAATCAGTTTTATCGAGTAACACCCAGCCGGCCCCTTTATCCGGTCGAGACATTATAATATCCTTGTTGGAAGTGGGACGTTTCATGGCGTCGATATGTATCTTTGTCAAAATAGTTCTTGTCTGTACTTGTGTGTTCTGATACTGGTGGCAATAGTGTACTAGAGATGTTATGAGTTGATCAACTAGATGAGCATGGCTAGGTGTTAAATCGCTGAGTTGATGCATGAGGCTTTCTATGAGACTATTTTACGACTCAGTAATCTGTTTTCTCCGGAATTGACAAATGCTACAGCACCCTCTTGTCTTTGTTTTTCCTCTCACAAAGGATCTGTATGCGTTTAAATTAAAAGGAATAAACTTACGTTTTGATGAACGTTTCCCCCAAATTACACCTTAATAATCGCAGAATTTTTCTTTTCTGCTGCACGCGATAGATATTGTCTAATGAAGACGTCACTAGTTACGCTTGTTTTCCAGTTATTGAACTGGATTTTTCCAATCACTTGTTTCATATCGAACCGATCTCGCAAGCCATTCGGTTATGCAACAGCTCCGTTCATTTCGTACAAATTTCTTCCATTTTCCAATGTGAGATCAATTTCGGAGCCATTTAGCTCGTCTGGTCATTTGCTACTTATATTTGTTTTTGTATAACTGTAAGATTATATACTTATATTTCAGTTAAAAATGTACACGGTTCGTCACGCAGAGTGAATATGCAGTTTCATATAATATGCAACGTAAAGATTGTTGTTGAAGTTTGTTTCATGTACAGAAGTTCTGACGTAGTCCACTTACGACCTGTTCCTTTTTGGTCAGTAGTCGGGCCAAGAGGGTGCAATGGAATTTTTATAAATGGTAATACGAGAGGTTAGGTGCCGAAAAGAGGAGCGTGTGGACCGATGGGAACGACATGATGATAGATCGGGATGCAGTGGGTGAAGAGGATCGTCTAGAATCTCATTGGCAAATTTAACACATGTGCCAAGGACGGCCTTTGCAGTACCTTAGAAGACTGCACTGCAGAAGCAATGGAGCATGATCAATAATTTGCGATACAATGAATTACGGGTAAATCGACTTTGACCGTTCGTTTTGTTTTTAGCAAACCGCTTCACTAACTAAGCTGATTACTGTCTACAGCTCGGTAGTTCTCTTGTTTACCTTCCTCTTTCTACCTCTGAAAAGTTATGCACAATACGCTTTCGAAGTCATTTTCGTTCAACTTTCATTGCATATGCATTGACTGCCTGTTAAATCCTCGTCCATTCCGTTGATTTGTAACAGTCAGATACATCGGCGCAGTGTTTGGAGAGCGATGGAAGCAGCAGGCATTACCAGTCATTCTGCGGAGTCCATGCGAAGTCATTTTCGTCAAGTGTTATGCGCCCAGTTACCAAAAACCTCCTTGGACAGCGTTGGCCAACGACCACCTAGAAGCAGACGTCATGAATACACGGAAAGGGAAGATCGGGCCATTATTGATTATATTATACAAAACAAATGTTACGCGTAAGTTTTTGTCTCAATGGAAGTATTTTATTTTTGCTATTAATTATTCAGACTCACTTACACCAGTAGAATATTTTCGAATAACCACTGCTAACTTGGTTTCATATAAGCTCTCATGAGACGTTACTCATTTCTATTCATTTCATCGTTTTCGTTTCTCCTTTTTCAAACCTCTCCGTTAATCGGTGCGAATGACCGTAGGTTTGGTAAATAAATTTTATCGTAAGTCCTGTATCAG